TAGCAATGATGTGAGTATCCTTCTTGGATATGGGAATGGTTCTTTTGGAAATCAAACAAAGTATTCAGTTGGCTCTTCTCCGCAATCTATAGCTATTGGTGATTTCAACAACGACACTCGACTAGATATCGTTGTCGCCAATTCGTGGAGCGGTGATGTGAGTATCCTTCTTGGATATGGGAATGGTTCTTTTGAAAATCAAACAAGGTATTCAGTTGGCTCTTATCCACAATCTGTATCTATTGGGGATGTTAACAATGACACTCGACTAGATATCGTTGTCGCCAATTGGTTGAGCAATGATGTGAGTATCCTTCTTGGATATGGAAACGGTTCTTTTGAAAATCAAACAAGGTATTCAGTTGGCTCTCATCCACAATCTGTATCTATTGGTGATGTCAACAACGACACTCGACTAGATATCATTGTTGCCAATTCGGATAGCAATGATGTGAGTATCCTTCTTGGATATGGAAACGGTTCTTTTGAAAATCAAACAAGGTATTCAGTTGACTCTTATCCAACATCTGTATCTATTGGTGATGTCAACAACGACACTCAACTAGATATCATTGTTGCCAATTGGCTGAGCAATGATGTGAGTATCCTTCTTGGATATGAAAATATAGTGTTTGTAAAACAAATGATACTCATAACTGGAAATGATTCCCGACCACTGTCGTTGGTGATTAGCGATTTTAACAATGATGATCTAATGGATATTGGCGTCATTAATTCACGCACCCACAATATTGATATTTTTCTTGGATATGGAAATATCTCTTTTGCAAATCAAATGACATATTCAACACATCCATATTTATCTGCATGCTCTATGGCTGTCGGTGATTTCAACAATGATAGTCGAGTGGATATCGTCTTTGTTAGTTGTAAGTCGAACAGTGTTGGTATTATTCTTGGATATGGAAATGGTTCTTTTGGAAATCAAATGATGTATTCAACAAGCTCAAGTTCGTCTCGATACTCTTTAGCTGTTAGTGACATTAACAGCGACACTATACTGGATATTGTCGTCGCGAATTATGATGCCAATTATCTAGATGTACTTCTTGGACATGGAGGGGGCACTTTTGAAAGCATTATGCTAGTTCAGTTGGACTATGGTTCCAATCCATTTTCGATTGCCATTGGAGATTTCAATAATGATAAAAAACTAGATTTTGTCGTTGCCAATAATGGTACTGACAGTTTAAATATTCTCTTGCAGACTTGCTAGTAATTTTATCTTGTACTTTATATTTTTCTATCAGTTACTTATTTCGTATGCTCTTATATTTAATAGAATCATAGTTGAAATATTGAAATGTTTCTAAGTGTGAATGATGAGTGAGGAAAGCTTGGGTTTGCTGGGGTGTGGGTGTGGTTATACAAAGCACTGGAACTCATAGTCACACCCACACCCTTCACACAAGTGATTGACAAACTGTTAAATAATCAAATGTCCTGGTTCTGGAGAGTAAACTCATTCTCTAGAATTATTTTAGGCTTTCACGTTCCACTGTAGTACTATATCTTGTTGCAATAATCTCATTCCAAAAGTAGTTTTATACGTAGAGAGATTCCTTTATCAACTTCATTAAGTTGTAAACATCAACTATTTCACTGTCTGTAGCACAGCTCAGACCTTTTGGCAGAGTATTGCGCATAGATAGTATTACATTACTATAAAATTTGATTTCTATAACTTGTACTATGGATGAACAACTATAACAACACTGGTATGCACTATTTTTGAATTTCTCTTAATCATTTTGGTAATTTTTGAAAGAAAAAACAATTTTTAGAGATACAAGAAAAGAAATCAAAAGTTATCAATTCTCCGGTATTTGATTATCACTTCGATCGAGATATTATTTTAATCGGACTGGTATTCTATCTATCTTTCATTCATATAAACTTTGAATATCCCTAGACATATTTTTATCAATCGATTTGAGCTCAGAAATTATGCTGCAATATTCAGTGACATTTAGACTATAAGAAACGTTTGAAGTATATTGAAAGAGAAATTACGAAGGTGTGGAAACAGTGATACTGATCAAATGATAATTGACATTGAGAAGGAATGGAACAAACTTGGTATTATTTTATATGAATGAAAGATAGATAAAATACCAGCCCGATTAAAATTACGTATATATCTCGATCAAAATAATAATCACACACAGGAACGTTGATGACTTTCGATTTGTTTTGTTGTATCTCTAAAAATTTTATTAATTTTAAAAAAATAACCAAAATGATTAGGAAAATTTCAAAAATAGTGCATGTCAGTGTTGTACCAAAGTTTCAAGGAGTTTGGTTTTGTTAAATGTGAGAATGATAAATTTTAAAATCGTTTCAGAACTTATGGGATACTCTTTACTTGGTGTTTTCTATGTAAATTGATATTAGTGTCAGTGAACAATAAAGTGCACAAATAGATCTCTATCGATCAATTTAACAATCGTTAGTCCACTGCTCTTCTTTTCTAAAAGACATTCTTACTCTGTTTGAAACATGCACAGATAGCTTATCATTTAATTCAAATTTATTGTCTTATGAACATCTTTTTTTAATTTTTCTTACCTTAAATGAGTAAAACTGAATTAAAACTAAATGACGTATAGACCAAAAAACGAAGTTTCAGTTATACAACGTTCAGTATGTAACCTTTTTTTTTTCTCCTCGAATATCTTCCTGTTCGTATTATCATAAAGAAAAATTGTATCCATATTTGTTGCTCTTTTTAATCTTATGGAATTTTTAAATTTTCGATCCAATATAAAAATGAGCATACACACACTGATTCTGCTATTTTATATTACAAAATATAATCTGTAAGCTGAGATGTCCTTTGCTTGCGAAAGTTAAGCATACACAGATAAGCAGAGTATACGAATACATTTTGTCTTTGAATTCTATTAAGAACACTGGGTGTGGGTGTGGGTGTGGGTGGGTGTGGGTGTGGGTGTGGGTGTGGGTGTGGGTGTGGGTGTGGGTGTGGGTGTGGGTGTGGGGTGTGGGTGTGGG